CTCGTTACAATCTTCTGTCGTGGCAGTTAATATTTGACAATAGTTTCAATAATTAATTTACATAAAAGCTTCACTAAAATGTTTCAAAGAAGTTCTTTTTTGAGTACTTGAAATTTTTTGTGAAAATCAATGAGAACTGTGCGTTTCAGTTCGATTTTTTATAGCTTGAATGGGGATGAGGAGAGGTGTTCAGATGATGGAAATACTCTCTGTCCATTTTTACCTTAGTTCGAGAAGATAGTCAGGATTTCGGTCATAATGAGGGTAAGTCATATGAACACAATGAGGGTCAGATCAGGGACAGATAAGGGTCAGATTAAAGTCAAATAAGGGCCATATGAAGATCAGGTAAGGGTCAAAAATAGGGCCAGCAATAGGGGCGTCCCCTAAATTTTCTCACACTGAAAGATTTTTTTATTATAGAGAGATATTTTCTCCTCTGAAAAAAATTTGATTTCTCCTTTAAAATCATTAGAAAAAACTTGGAAAGGTGACAATTAGGATTACAGATAAGGGTCAGAATGAGGATTACAGATAAGGGTCACAATTCGGATCACAGATAAGGTTTGGAATTGGGGCCACAGGTAAGGGTCAGAATCTAGGTCACAGTGAGGGTGCGAAACTGGGTCACGGTGAGGGTCAGAATCTGGGTCCCCGACAAAGGTCAGAAGCTGGGTCACAGTGAAGGTCAGAATCTCGGTCACTGACAAGGGTCAGAATCTGGGTCACAGTAAGGGTCAGAAACTGGGGCGTCCCCTTAATTTTCTCACACTTCTCGCACAGAATGTATGTTATCGCTTTTTCTCATCGAGTGGAGGATACTATAGGAATGACTTGAATCTGTGTACCATGGGTCAAATAATAGAACACAATGCCAACATCACATTACAACAATCACCAGGAGGTTCTTTATCACAGTGTTCGTTATAAGAAACTCTTCAGTAATCACCTACCACAGTAACTGTAAATAATAAAATAGCGTGTGTAAATTGAACACCTACCTTTCGCCAAATTATTGCAGGGTAACACAATTGACATGAATACGTGAAAATAATTCCTGTCAATGGCAAGCTGTATACTTATATCACCAAAGTGGCGGAAATTGAACAGAATTAATTTTATAATTTCCCCATTTCCACTGTAAACTTCTGCACATTCATATTCATCTACATTCACAAATTAGATATCAACGGAAAATCTAATCCGATTGGAATGCCGGAAAATTCTCAACTGGTCGGACTGCGAAAGATTCGAAACAATAATCATACACTCTGTGTGATATTCGGTGGTTACAATATTCCCGCATTGCATATTTATTTCCACCTGCCATTTTCGAATGCGGAACTTATATTTCTACTACACCACGCGAGTTGATCAGCATCTCGTGCTCAAAAATTCGGTTAATCTGCCTCCGAGGTGTATGTGGATTAATTATCGATGGAACATTTGGTCTGTGCACTATCGTATTGTATACAATTTTCGACCACACTGAGAAAAAAATTTCTCATATCTGAAACATATTTTCTTGAGAAAAGTAATTTTTCTTCAACTGTTTAATTCTCCCAGGCATCTGAACTCACGTAGCCCGAGAAAGGTCTCATGCTTTAACATATTCTCGTTCTCAAGTATGATTTTGTTGGAAATGAACTCACTAAAATCGCGTATAAGAGCCGTCAATTTTCAAGTGATTATTGTTTTCTTGATTTTTTTTGTTATGCAGTTGCAATATTTCGATATGTAATACATTCATGATATAATGCGCAACGATAGTGCTGACTAAGAATTCATTCGAGTTCCGTGAACCGCAAGCATTCTGAGATTTAAACCATTGAAAATAATTTACTTCTCTCAAGTGAATATACTCTACATATCAGAAAATTTTTCTCTCAGTCCATTCAGTTTTCAGAAATCTGAGTGAGAAACCCAGACCTAGAAGCCTGCCATAAATTACTGACTAAGAATTCTAGAAGATTCTATAAGTTTCCAGTATGTTGAGGGCCAGTACTACAGGTTTCGGCTAAAGTTAACTGGGAATTAGGGAAAGGGACAGTAGGTAGGCAAACCCATGAGAGCGAGAGAAATCTCTTGTGGATTTGCCTACCTAGTGTCTATTGTCCTAACCCGTGCTTAACTTCACTGAGACTTGTAGTACTGAGCCTTAGAACGCTTTGGATCAGTACCTAGACATGTCCACGTTGAAATTCGCCGGGTGTATAGCTAAATACAGCCGCCGCCTACTTTTGACAATAATTTCGATTAACAAAAAAGATTCACTTTTCTAAACTTCATTTTAACATGGTTAGATGAAGATTTAACTTTGCCAAAAATTGTCACCTTCTATTTCATGTTTTTTATTGAATAACGTGAAAAAAACTCTCACTTCTTGCCTGCGCCATAATGAAAAAAATTAAATTGACAAATTTTGGATTTTTTTTTCTACAAATTCACTTATAATTTCATTTCATTCCATTTATTGAGCCTCGTTAATAAATGACAATACTTCCAAGTTATTTTACATATTATGCTAGTATATTCAATTAATATTTGTTCATATATTCTATTCATTTCTAGATTGCAGCAATTCTCAAAAATCCTGGTATTCAATTTCCTCTGCCTCTTCCTCTTCTGCCTGAGTGAAGCGTGGCCACACAGCTACTTCAGTTAAATATCTATTGGAACTCGATGAAAATTCTGTTGGAATTCCATTAGAATTTCATGGTCACCGCATGGTTAATTATTGGTGAATTTAATGAATAAAGGGCTAAAAACACTCCCAATAATTTTGACATTTTGTCAGATATTTGGTATTGATTTGGACTAACTCTGTGCAAAATTTCAGCACGATCGGTCCATTAGATTTTGAGTTTGTTTTCCATCGTGAATGTCGATTCTCAGGCTCTCTAGTTTCTTGTGAGCATCGAGCAAATCTCTAAAATTTCTGCCGTTTACCCTCTTCTCCATGGATCCCGAAAACTACTCGAGGTTGCGACATTTCTCATGTAGATAGGTAGGACAATTGAAACTCGATCAGGTAGATCAGAGACGATCCACAATGCTCGAGGAATTATTTTCTGTTTTTAGCTTTACAGTGACGACAATGATTCTATCGTTCGTGAACGCATACATAACTATCCCTGGGAATGGCCCATCACAAAGGGTGAGTATAGAGATCAGTCTCTATACTAACTGGATGGCTGGTCCCCTGACGCGCGGTTGAGGTAAATTGAAGGGTCACTCAGCGCCCTTATTACCGGACAGGGTACTAAGTTTAGCGTTAGTGCGCATGTGGGGCTCTGATGGTGCGGATGGGGCGTGATCATTTTACCATTTTACCAGGATTGAGAAATGTCCTTCATATTTTACTATTTCAATACTGTACGAAATTTAAAATAAAATATACATTGTTTATCTCATTGACGTACCATATGTATTTGGAGACGAAAAGCAAATATGAGGATTGGAGATTGCTCAAGTCTATTATATTTCAATAGATTTTTTCGGAAAATGCAAACAACATAATGCTATCATACTGCTTCAGTCTGAAATTTACGAGACCCATATTCTGTATCCACTTTGGTTTTAATTTTTCATCTTTTAGAAACCTTTGCAAGAGAAAAAATAACAATATATGTGAATTAAAGTTTTAAATTGAGTATTCCCCCCATCGGAATCTCGGCCAATAGGAGGGCCGCATTTGATGTCACGTGGTACAACCTACACGGTTTTATATCGGTAAAACTCGGTAAAACCACGGCACGTTGCTGAGGGACAATAAACAAAATAATTGAAATGCGAAAGTGTAGGTTGTACCACATTGACATCAAATGCTGCTTTCCAGTGACCGAAATTCCGATGGAGGAAATACTCCTCCAAATACCTCTCGAGTTTCATAATGCATCGGGTATTTCCCTCAACCTTTCCTGTAAACAAACGATCATGTCGAGTTTGTAGGAAAATCCCTCGCGCTTCGCGTTCGGCATTTTTAAACTTACAAAACTTGACACTCTCGTTTGTTTGCAACGAAGCTATCGAGAAATACCCGATCATTTTCAAGCTCTCGTGGCATTACTACTGAAAAAAGTAATATGCTGCGCATTTTATCATTCGAAGTTCCGTTGAGGTTGACTTTTTAACGATCTCAAACACTTACTCGTGAAATGATAAGTCTTTGCAGTCTCTTTTTCGTTTTCGGCAAAAGACACACTGCACCATTGTGTTTGCGGGTTCCTTCGTCGCAGAAAACAAATAATAAAATAAAGCAAGGCTAATTCATACATGCTCCAAAAATTACTTTGTGGTTATGGAAGAATGGTAAAATTACCATCCCCACAATTTTACGAGAATATTGACGCACGCGCATTGAGGTCCTGATTAGTACCCTGTCCGGTAATAGCGGCGCTGGGTGAGCCTTCAATTCGACTCAACTCCGACTTACTGGGCCCGTAAGGATAGACCATCCAGTTAGTATAGAGATCAGTGGGTGAGATCCTTGTCTTCACGTCAACAGTCGTCGATTATTACGGCCCATCTCTTGCATACTGTAAGACGTATTTTTAAGTGAATATCTTACGATTTTCTAAAAAAAAACTATGCAAAAATTATCCTACTGTTTATTAGGTGTACAAATAAGTTTTAGGACACTTCGATTCCGTGTCATGAAAGTAATTCAAAGTTACCGCTTATATATTGTTGAAAAGTGGCTCCAGCTACTGGTCCTCGTTACCTGTACTACGTTCTACCTCATTACCATTAACCTACATTACCATGTGCCTTGATAAACTATGTTACCATATAGCGATACTGTTAAGATGGAGACGAGACCGTGCGCATGCGCAGCTCTCGTCTCGACACGTTGAGGCGTGGGGTGGCTCATTCGTGTTCCACAACGATGAGACGCAGGACGAGTCTGACGTGTGCATTAATAAACCTTCGTTAATCTACAACTGTGTTATACTTATTGTGTTCTATCTCCTAACCATCTATCAGGTTATGGGCCCAGGCACGCTTCCACTGTGCAGTGAAACAAAAAATTATAAAATAAAAAGGAAAAGTGATGTCGGACGTGGAATTAAGTAAGTAAAGAATATCCAATTAAAATTAAGGGATTGCATCATCTCGGTGGGAACAACGGGGAGACCGAGCACAAAAATGGCCGACATCCGTGGAATACTGACGCGTCCGAAATAATTTAATCTAGAAGCTGAAATTGGAGATTATTATTTTAAATAAATAAAAAGGGCAAATGAAGTATCAAAAAAAAGAAAAAACAATAATAATCTAGTTTTTTGTGAATTTGGGATGAGTTGAAGGAATAGCGGAATTCTAAAGAATTAATAAGTTTTTAAGGGAACTAGATGCGGGACGCGTAATAAAGGGGGGTTTGGTTGATGCGGTGAGTGCGTCGCCGGCATGGCGCGCGCGCAGTAATATATAAAATAGAAACCGCTGGAATGGAGACGCGCATTAACACATAAAAATAATTCTCATGCATGAGTGGATGAGTCCCAACCAAACCCGACGAGGAAAATAAATTAATAACGAGAAATTCTCCACTGGTTGGAAATCGAAATCCAATTAGTAAATAATTAATAATTATCACAGGTGACGACCTGGGGAAGTTGTGGGAAACCCTCACTTCAATATTTGGATTTGATGACTTCCACAGAGGAGAGGACGTAGTCCTGGAAGTATTGGATGAGTCATTGTTAATGAAAGCAGACAAACTTAAATACAAGCTTGGTGAGTCACAAATGAAAAGGGCTCGGTGAGAGGTCTGGATGAGAAATAAATGAGAAATGCATGCGATTGAGTGCTAGTGAAGATATTGGCTAGCAAATATCAACACATTTAATTTAGCACCAATAATTCAAATAAAATACTAGTTATAAAATAAATATATATATATNTTAATTTAGCACCAATAATTCAAATAAAATACTAGTTATGAAATAAATATATATATATATTTATGAATGTAGATTCTTAATTATATCCGGAATCGGGATGTTCCACTAAGTTGATTAGCGGAGGAAAATTGATCGTTCAATATCAGAAACTAATCGACTTTTTTAGCACAAATTAGTATTTGTGTACAATTCTCATTTGTGTTCAAAGCTCTAATGCCAGTAAATTTGAGTACGATAACTGGCAGCGGAGCAAAGGATATAACATTTATAAAACTTACCAATAAATAATCATAAACTAAAATTTCCCAACAGGTAAAAACATGATGGTAGATGGGCAATGGGAAGCACTGATAAAGTGGTATGAGGACAAGCTCTTAATAAACACACCACCCATCATGCCTAAAGTTTATGAGGAACATCCTATAGCTATTATTGAGGTCAGTAAGGAAAGAGTTGACGAGGAGAGTGAGGACGAGGAAAAGGGTAAGAACGACGAGGTCCAAAGGGATGAGAAGACGAATACAGGTCAGACGGCCGGACGAGTGGATGAGCAAAATGCAATAATAGCTAACACTCTCAAATCAGGTAATTCAAAACCCCAAATTGAAAAAAAACAAAATTGAACATATAGAAACGAAAGTTACGATAAAATCACCTGTAAAAGTTCACTCAAATGATCTGACGAAAACTAAAATTAATGAGAAACAAAATGCATTTCCAGTACAAGACAGACTTGAACAAGTATGTGCAAAACTGGATTCGGTCACCAATGTACTTCTAAAAATAACTAAATTACAAACTAACACGGGTACATTTTTAATGGAAGCGATAAAAGAAGTTAAAAAGGAAGTACAGGTGGGACGGAATGAGAGAGAGGATAGAATTCAGAACATTGAAGAGAATATGGAGAAGTTGTTGACTTGGGCTGACGATCAGGACGAGAAGGTAAGCGAAGAGACTGATCAACCCAAAAAGGGCGATGAGAATGATATGGATAAGGAACTGAATGAAAGAATTCAGGAGTTGTTTAAAAGAAAAGAAATGTACCAAAAAGATGAAAATACCAAAACCAGCAATGCTGAATTGGTTAATGAAGCAATTAAATACAATCTGTTAGACAAGGGGCCATCAGTAAAACGTGATTATAAACTTGATAAAAATACTAGGTATGAACATTTTCATGACTACTTTTACTCAGAAGTAAGATCTCATAAACTCTCACACATTATTGACAGTAAAGTTAAATTCAATGGTGATCCGAAGATTCTGGATGAGCATAAATTCAAAGTGAGAGATATTTTGATAAATCACATTGATAAAGAATATCATGTTAAAGTTGTAACAATTCAAGATCCAGTAGCAATTTTAAACAAACTCAAAGGAATTAAGAAATATGAAAATAATATCTTTTCGGCTACTGTAAGACTGGAAATAACCAGTATGAGATACGATAAAAATAAATCAACTGCTGTAAACTTTAGCAATAAATTTGAAGAAGCTATTCGTAATTATGAAAATTCACCTGATGCTACCCCGTTGTCTGAGGAAGAGAAAAGAGACGCATTCAACAATGCAATTATTAAGTCAGTACCAATGGTACAACTATTACAGTCAACAGCAAAAATTAAAAACGAACCTCCTCTGACGTATGACCAATTAACTACTGTTATGAGACAGGAAGAGGCAATAAGGAAACAGGACGAGCCAAGTAGCACAGAGGTGAGAACAGCAAATCTGGCATCCAAAGATACTAGATGCTACGAGTGTGGCGGATTCGGTCACCTCGGACGAGAATGCCCTGGACGCGGACAAGGGAAATTGTGCTATTTGTGCAAAGAGTTCGGTCATACCAGACGAGAATGTCCGAAATCAGGTGAGACTTTTAAACCAAGAAACTATACTAGAAATATCAGTTCGAGGGGACGAGGTTTTCGTGGATCTGGGAGAACATATAATTCGTTGAAAAGAAAATCAAACGGTCAGATTGAAACTGGGAATTCTAAAAGGGGTAAATTTTACAATCAAACAAGCAGAGGAAATTTCAAGTATACTAAACCCAGAACTACTCCTAAAGTCAGTCAGGAAGAATCAGGGAAATCTTCAACATCTGACAACAAAGAAAAGTGTAAGTCAATAATGAAAAATTCAATAAATAAGTCACGCGAGGGTCAGGCAATGTGTGGGCGAGAGTGATCAGAGAAGCAAATTTATCACTAAGTTTCTAGCACACTCCGGTGCCACAGAGCACTTAACAAACTCAAAATTAATATTCAAATCTATTGACGAGCAAACTAAAGGAGTAATTAAATGCGCTAATAAAAATGAAAACGCGGACTTGAAAACGGAGGGAGTCGGTCAGGTGGAAATCCAATTGTTAAATGGCAAGAAATTTGTGATAGACGAGGTTATATTTGCAGATGCTCTTCAAGCCAACTTATTGTCATTAAGACGCTTCGCTGAAATGGGACTTGGGATTTATCTGGATGACAAAAGAATTGACATATTTAATCCAGAGTCGAATGAATTGTTTATCTCTGGAGTATATGAGAAGCCATATTGGATTGTTGATTTAGAAATAAATAAATTTAGTGATGTCAATAAACAATTTCAGAAAAATACAATCAGACGAGTTATAGCTAATATGGTGGGAGGTCAGACAGAGATAAGAAAATACATGACTCGTAGTGTCACGGCAAGGCTTGACGAGGTAGCTTCAGACAAGGAAAATCAAATTGAAAGTAACGAACAAATTGTAGAATCAGTAACTGACGAGTTAGAAAATGGACAATCCGAAATAGAACAAAAAGAAGTAATTTTCAATAAAGAAAACTCAAAAACAACTACTGATCCAATTATGATATCAAACTTTGACTTTTCAATCTGCGACAGAAAAATAAATAATGCAGATGAAGCCAGAAACTGCGAAAGTGACGAGAAAGTTGATATGTTTGTGACAGAAAATGATAAAATTAAAAACATAAATCAAAAAGCATTGCTGTGGCACACGAGGTTTGGTCATGCCTCGATAGCATATCTAAAGGCCATACAATCTAAATTTCCAAATAACAAAGAATTAAGAGAAGTAGTATTTGACGAGTTCCTAATGGATTGTGAGGTTTGCTTAGTATCTAAATTCAACAGATTACCATTCTCAAAGATAAGGAGTCGAGCCACTGAACCTTTACAAATTATACACTCGGACGTAATGGGGCCAATATCTCCAATTACATATCCGAAAGGATACAGGTTCATATCAGTCTTCATTGATGATAAATCGAGATTTGCTATGGCATACCCGATGAAAGCGAAAAGCGAAACAGGTCAGTGTTTTGAAATGTTTGTCAGGAGTTGTAGGAATTTGTTAGGTTACGACGCGAAAGTCTGTTATCTTAGGTCTGATCAAGGTACAGAATTTACCGGAGGACATACGGTTGAAGTATTAAAAAGTTTAGGTGCGGAATTACAATTAGGAAGTCCAGACACTCCTGAACATAATGGTGTCTCAGAAAGATACAATCAGACAATCCAGAAGAAGGTCCGTACGTACATATTTGACGCGAAACTACCCGAAAATATGTGGGATCTGGCTCTGTCTGCTGCGGTATATGCGTACAATCGAACCCCTCACAAATCTAATGATATGAAAACGCCATTAGAAGAGTTTGCACCCACACACAGCTATGATATTAATCAAATAAAAAGATTCGGTTGCTTGGCATATATGAAAGTTCAGAGAAAAGTAGGACCTAAATTCAGGGCAATGGGTGTAAGGGGTATTCTAGTTGGCTACACACCCACAGGGTACATATTGCTAAAACCCGAAGAGGGTAAATTCTATGAAAGTAGACATGTCAGGTTTAATGAGAAAAAGGTCTATGGTGATAGATACAAGAGGGGCGAAATCAGAGATATCCCGGAGGTTCAAGAGACAGTAAATAAAGAGGATTGGTTTGTAAGCATAGATAAGAGTTCTGTAGACCGTGAAGAGACATTAAAATCGGAGGGAGTTGTGAAGAGGAAAAGAGGCAGGCCAAGAAAGGAAACTCCAACAACAGAATCAAAAGAAATCAATAAAACCCCTAGTGATTTAGTGCGGGATTCAAATCTTACAACGCTACCAATTGACGCGAACTTAACCTCCGGATTATTTCTGGCATGTTTATCACAGGGTGAGGGTGAGTTAGGTCTGGGCAATTCTACTGATGAGGTTTGTCATGCTCTTCTAGCTAAAATCAATAAGGATCCAATCAATTTTAAAGAAGCAATGCAAGATACAGAGAAGAATAACTGGACAGAAGCGATAAATGAGGAATTAAATTCCATGAGTAAAAACGAAGTTTGGAAAATCGTAGACAGACCGATCTCCAATCAAAATGGTCAGAAAGCTAATATAATTGACTCGAGGTGGATTTTTAAACGCAAGTTAGAAGCAACAGGGAAGACTCGTTATAAAGCTAGGTTGGTTATTCGAGGTTTTAAAGACTTAAACGTATACGAACTGAGAGAAACCTATGCTCCAGTATCTAGAATTAATCTGGTTAGGGCAGTCTTCGCGATTATTAATAAGTATGACTTGGATACATGTCAATTAGACGTTAAAACAGCATTCTTAAATGGAGAAATTGACGAGGAAATTTATATGGAAATCCCTGAAGGGACTCCACATTCTGACTTAGACAGAGATACTAAAGTATGTAAACTAGAAAAGGCCCTCTATGGACTTCGAATAAGTCCCAAGCGTTGGAATAAGAAATTTACAGAAATAGCTTTCAGAGTAGGGCTAGTAAACTCGGATTTGGAGCCCTGTTTGTTTACTTGGAGTCATGAGGATGGGTTCTTAATTCTGTTACTGTATGTGGATGATATTATTATGGCTAGTAATGATAAGATCAAGTTGGAAGAGGTTAAAACAGCCTTGAGTTCAGCATTTGAAATGACTATCCTGGGTGAGCCAAAAGAATTCTTAAACATCTCGATCAAAAGAGATAGAGAAAACAGGATATTAAAGTTGAGTCAGGAAAAATATATTCAGAAGTTATTGATTAAATATGGATTTGAAGATTCACATCCTCAAAGAACTCCAATGTTAACTACACAGGCATCTAATCAGGAACGTAAACTGAGAGAGTCTGATCTTGCAGGAGAAGTTTACAGTGTGAAAATGAATTGTCCATACCGAGAAGTAGTAGGTAGCTTGTTATATCTAGCAGGAACAACAAGACCTGACATTTCCTATGCGGTCAATGTATTGAGCAGACACCAGGTGAATCCGACAGATGAAGATTGGAAAATGGTGAAAAGAGTACTAAGGTATTTAAAAGGTACCACTGCCCTAGGTTTGAGATATGCTGGTGAGACTGACGTAATAGAAGCATATTCGGACGCTAGCTTTGCTGATTGCAAGGAATCATTGACTACATGTGGTTATGTAATTAAACTGTTTGGTGATTCGATCATTTTGAGAACTCACAAACAGTCATATGTAGCTTTATCGACGTGCCAAGCTGAATATGTAGCGATGAGCGAAGCGAGCCAAGAAATGTTGTCCATGTACAACTCTCTAAAATTAATACTAACACCCCAACTGCCTATGACATTATGGTGCGATAATAAGGCAGCGACGAGTAGTACTGAAATCAGTGGGGGAAATAAATTGAGACACATAATAGATGTCAAAGCACACCATATTAAAGAGTGTGTGAAACTCAATTTCATCAAAGTTAACTGGATTAGTTCTAGAGATCAATTGGCTGACGTGTTTACAAAACCTCTGGCGTTTGAGCTACACAAACGACAAGTTGACAAAATATTGAATGTAAATATCTAATCTTATGTTTTATTGTTTGTTTAGGAAAGAAAAATAATTAAAGATCAAAGCACTGTATTAAAGGACTCAGCAGTAGTTGGGAGGGAGTGTTGAAAAGTGGCTCCAGCTACTGGTCCTCGTTACCTGTACTACGTTCTACCTCATTACCATTAACCTACATTACCATGTGCCTTGATAAACTATGTTACCATATAGCGATTCTGTTAAGATGAAGACGAGACCGTACGCATGCGCAGCTCTCGTCTCGACACGTTGAGGCGTGGGGTGGCTCATTCGTGTTCCACAACGACTAGACGCAGGACGAGTCTGACGTGTGCATTAATAAACCTTCGTTAATCTACAACTGTGTTATACTTATTGTGTTCTATTTCCTAACCATCTATCATATATGATATGGTGGGGTTTGTTATGTAGTATCAAAACATAAGGGAGTCATAAACATAACCTTAAATTCTGTGAATAAAACATGCAGACCGATAAGCTATTTATTAGACACTGCATTCGCTATGAATTCCATCAAGGAAAAACTGTTAGGAAAGCCTGTCAATCGATGTGTTCTGTTCTTGGGGACAACATTGTATCTAAAAGTACATATGAGTATTCGTATAAGCGATTTAAAGAAGGTGATTTCGACGTTAGTGACCGTGAACGTATCGGGGCCCCTGTAAGGGTGGCTGACCAGGAACTGCAAGCGTTGCTGGATGAAAACTCTTGCCAGATGGAAAAACAACTTGCAAAACAGCTTGGAGTAACTCAACAGACCGTTTCCTATCGCTTAAACGCAATGGGAAAGATTCGAAAAGGAACAAAGTGGGTGCCACACTTTTTGACTCAAGAAAATAAAGATAGCCGACTTGACATATGTCTGAATCTTCATAATAAGCAACATAGAAAGTCTTTTTTGTGGAAAATTGTGACTGGCGATGAAACGTGGATTTATTTTG